TTAGTCCTTGAACTATATGAAAATGTTCAATGTAATCCCTGAACTTGAATTAATGGAAGGACTACATTGAACATTTTCATATAATTCGGAGACTAAATTGAACATACACAAAAAATTCAGGGACCACATTGAACAATTTAAAAGTTTAGGGACCAAATTGAATATTAGGATAAAGTTCAGGAATTACATTGAACAAATTAAAAGTTCAGAGACCAAATTGTATATTGGGCCAAAGTTCAGAGACTGTTTGTGTCATTTTCCCTTGATAAAGACCAGGAAGAATGTACTTTTGCTCAGTCATGATATAGATTTGCTTGAAGGATGCTCAGACGAAATTTTTTTACTTAATTTAATTTTTCTACGGCTTAAAATATGTGCGTAATAACTTAGGAGCCCTTCATCTATACTGTCTACTTTGATTTTTCTTTGACAATATGATTTTTATAAGTTACTGATAAGTATGAACATTTCGGGGAAAAAAATACACAAAAGAACGTTGATGGAAAAGAAAAATAATGAAATCTATGCACTTTTTGTAGCATGTTGATACAAATACTTCTCATGTTAAAATATGATTGGCCATGTTTTCCTCCCAACATGTCTCTAATTGGTGTGTTACAAACATGGACATCATTCATATTTGATATTGGTTAAGTTTGTATTGTGGGTGATAATCCTAACTTGTAATCTACTAATTGTAGGCATGCTTGAAGAGAATTTTCCTTCAATCATAAATGAAGGAAAATACATTCCGATGTGAATCGCAGAATCTTCATGACGCTAATTTTTAATGTGCACGATTTACTGAAGCAAACTTTTTGACATGATACGAATTGCCATCGGATGATAGCTTCCCTTTTCAATTTTGTGATGTTAAGCCAATCAATAGGTGAGAGAATATGTGTAGACCAGCAAGTACCTCGTCTTTTTTCTTCCTTAAGTTGACATTCTTAAGTTGATAAAAACAGATATTATCCCTATGATAGAGCAAACGAAATGCGTGAGGAAGCGATCTCAATTTCAAAAACAGAATTAGGTGGGAAGTCAATTTTTTTTTATCGTGAATGTACTCACGCAATCCCAACATCGGGTTATCATTATTAGTTGTAATCTTGCTGAGCTGATTGAATGTTTGCCGACATTTGATATGTTTTGCCGGGTTTAACCAACACTCGAAAGACCATGGAAACTTGTTGCAATCCTCTTTGAGTGGCATTTCTGCAAATTAAATTGAACTTCTCTTAATACCAAAAATAAAGTAATTGAATTGAAGTTGATCCAGTACGAGATGACTCTTATAAGAAGCTAAAGCCTTGTTCCCCCGATATAAAATGCAAGACTTATAAGGTTAAATCCATGTGTGATGAGTATCATAAGTAAATGAAGTATCTCTATCCGGTTTTCATTTCAAGTTGTCTCGTTTGAATATTCCTTTTGATAGCTTGATCCTGTCTACGCCAATATTACTCGGGTCGGAGAAATGCCAGGAAACTTCGATGCAACAGTAGTCCTCGTGCGTTAAACAAATAACTGCCATCGAGAATGGAGCAAGAAGTCGATCTTGGATCTTGAAGACAAGGTCTAGAACGATTCGAACACTCTCAAGCAAGAAATTTGGTTTTAGCTGCACTGGATCTACTTTGACATGTGGTAAAAAAAAAAAAACCATCTTTTGAGAGAAAAGTAAACCTGCAAAAAATTGAAGAATTGTATAGTGAAAAATAAAAGTAGAGTTACATGATAACAATGATAAATAATTAGTGTTAATATCACGAAAAACCCCAAACTGATACGCCTATGACAAATTTACCTTAAACTAATTTTTTGACCATAAAAAATTCCCAAATTGGTACTCCTGTGACAAATTTACCCCCCATTAGTTTACGTTAAATTTAACCGTCAAATTGTCGAATTGGATGACACGTGGCAGTTGACGAGTGCACCAGCTTGGGGTTTTACTCTCTATTTGTCACGGGTGTATTAGTTTATAATTTTTCGTCGTATTAATCTAATTTAATGGGAACTAATAGAGGGTAAATTTATCACAAATGTACCAGTTTAGGGTTTTTTATGATCAAAAAATTAATTCGGAGTAAATTTGTCACAAGTGTACTAGTTTGGAATTTTCGGTAGTAAAAAAATTAGTTAAATATAAATTTGTCGTAGATGTACTAGTTATGAGTTTTTCGTGATATTAATCCTATATTATGTGGTTCAAGGAACCTTTACTGCAAAGTGCACAGTGCCTATTTATAGGATAGCATAACGCAAATTCTTATCAAGCACAATCCCACACAACATAAATCGAAATAGTGGCACTTCGAATAAATAATGCAGTAAGCAAAGTAATGTTTTTGGTCAATTAGCAAACAAACTCCATATGAAGTCGAAAATTCTAGCATTAATATTTTAAGGTGCCAAGTTATCCAACAAAATCGAGTTGAGCCAATATAGATAGTATCAGAGCAGAACTTCTGGAGTTGATGTGCGGCTCGACGATGAATTAGGTCCGAGCGGATCCCAACAAGTTCGAGAAATGATTGCGCCCTCGTTTTCGAGGAAGGCGAAAGAGCGAGAACGTAATCGAATAGAGGAAGTATTGCCGGGTGTTTTCGCGTTCACGTGTACTTTCATATTTTTCTTTTAATCCAGGATATTGATAGACAACCCTTGTTGACTTTTCGACACGTGGCCCTCCAATCGATTGCAGCACACAAGATAACTAACTTAACTACCAAATGTCAGCAAAACCTGGACCATAAACGATGACTCTGGTTATAATCAGTTGATATGCTATTCGCAGGTAAATGATAGCGAAATCCCCCGAATCTCCTATAGTAACTAGTAAGCTCCATCTCCAGAACAGCTATGAAACTTCAAGGAAATTAGCTTCTGTTTCTTAAATTGTAGTTATCCACAACACTTGGTGCTCGTTACAAGGACAAAGTCTCCAAATGGGGCCATCAAAGATCAAGTTCAGGGTCAAAGGTTTGCCCTTATCCATTCAATAGAGACAGATTTATTTTTGACTTCTTTATATGAGAAAGAATGTATTCACCCTGTTTGAAAGTCTCACAGGTGCTCGCTTGAGGTCCAAATGCTCATTTGATGTTGGTCAGTCAAAAGGACAAACTTTCTGGGGGAGTCTTTGATTCTGCACCAGCACCTCCATGTTCCCTGATGCCGAAATAGGGCAATAAGAGGTCGAAAAAATGAGAAATGCACGGCACGCGTCGAGGTAAAATGGAATTCGTTATAGCTACATCAACGATATATTGCTGTAATCTCAAACTTTAGCAATGGATCGACAACCCGGTTCAATCAGTCTTGTGTCCTAACTCATGTTACATCCATGATTAAATTTGGTTTACGAGGCCAAATTTGAATATACATGAAATATAACTCAAACTTAAACGTGTAGTTTCTGCACGACAAAAATAATTTGACACTGTTTAAGCATAGTTTAACAAATTGCAGAAGCAGATACAGCAACCTATGCATCTTTGGTCCCTCCTGTTCCCTATTATGTATGTGTATATGTGTTAATTTCGATTTGATTCGATGACAGTCGGATCTTAATTCCTTCCTCTGCAATCTTTCCTTTGTCTTGATCAGGCATAGGAATAGCAATACAAGATTATCGATAGAACATTGATGGTATGATCTATGGTTTGATCCAAAAGCGAAATACTTCCACTAAAATAAGAGACAGTGACCTAACAATATGGATATAACAAATGGTTGTTGACTTAATTGCATGTTTTTCAAAACTTGTTAGGAGGGAGTTCCTGTCTTGACTTGGAATAGTGGCGTGACAAAGCCAGCTTTTCCTCCTCATGGAATCCTAATCAACTCCACATAATAGTGGCGACAGCCACTCTAATCTTATCGAAAAGGCGCCATAATTTCGTGTTTTATAAAGATTTAGCTGATGCCACTCTATTGGTTAATGCTATCTGTCCTTAGTGATTGAACTGTGACTCTTCACTTTATTTGGTTAATTGCTTCATACGCAATGATAGTCCATTTTCTAATTCGATAGGTGTTGCTTTTCCACTCAAATTCGGGCCCTTCTCCTTCCCCAGTAGAAGAACAAGACGTATATATGGCTACAGATTTATATTAACAGGTTATTTGTATGCAATCTTGACCATTTCATATTTGAGATGATGCGATAGGGTAACGCCACGGAAAAATCAGAGCAGTGTACAGTGAAGTTCACGAATAATCTGAGCTCATTTGCTTGTTCATCGCCTTACTGCTTGATTCATTCTTCTACTTCCTAGCTATGAAATGTTGCTTGAATTCCCTTAAGGTAACCTGGTCAAGAAATAAATTTGGCATTTGTGATGCTCAGTGATAAATCCGCGAATTTCACTTGAATGTTCAGGCACAGATGGATTGTCCTGGCCTCTGGTGTTGAAGTCCTGATTCTGATGAACTTTTGACCATCAGGATATTCTGAAGTGATTGAAAGTTTTCTCTGTCGATCTTACTCAAAATCATCTCTTATACCTTGCAATGCAAGTTTTTCAAGAAAAATTAATGTCGACATAATGCTGTGATCAAGCAGGAATTGGTAGCTGAAATATATTTCAATAAGCTACATGGAGAAGATGCCATGATTGTGAACTCACAACAAACACATCTGAATTAGCTGTTCCTGGATTCAGATACGAATCTACTCCAATAAAATAAAAGTCGAAAGTTCCATGGAAACTTCCCGTGATTTATCATTGCAAATATAATATTTAGACAGCGTTATACAAGTTACTTCTGCTGACAAATAGCTTATTCAGATAAGATGAAACTACAAATGACTAAAGTACTAGACGATTGATCTTATGAATCTTAGCAGACTTTTCTACATGAAACAAGAAAATTAAATAGCTTGCTGTCAAACGCAGAAATATTTAACAGGATCATGCAAAATTAAAAGGGATATCACTAAAATAAACCCAAACTTGTACAATGTGCTGAGCAGACATAGATCCCACAGAAAGAAGCTATAAATATAAGTTTCACTAGAGTAAAGCAGTTCAACGGTTGAGACACTGTGAAAGCCTCAACTTTTGCAACCACAGTCTACAGCCTCTAGGCACTACATAAATCAAAAACCTCACCACCACCCACCAGAGTAGAGGCATGGCAGAGAGCCCAGTGACTCACCTACTCAACAAGCTCGCACAATTCTTTGAGAATGAGGTGCGGTTCCTAACAGGCGTTCGAGAAGAAGCCCTCTCAGTGAGAGGAGAGTTGGAGCGAGTCCGAGCCTTCCTCAGGGTCGCAGATTCCCTCGAGGAAAGCGATGAGGAAGTCAAAGTGTGGGTGAAGCAGTTGAGAAACACAGCCTACGACATGGAGGATGCGCTCGATGAGTTCTCGCTGGTCCTGAGACACGATCACGGAGTCGGGTTCACTGCCCTCATCAGCAGGATGTCCTGCTGCATCAAGAACCTGAAGGGTCGATACCGTGTCACGTCCGAGATACAGCGCATCAACTCCAGAGTAAAGGGCATATGCGATGGGCATCGGAGGCTGCGCCACAAATTCAGCAGGGCTCAACAAGATCCGAGCTCGACTGGCTTGGACAACACATGGCAGGACCACCGAGGCAATGCCCTTCTTCTAGATAAAACTGATGTAGTGGGCATTGAGCAGCCGAAGAACGAGCTGATTGGGCAGTTACTTGACGGGGCACACAGGCGGGAGGTCATCTCCGTCGTGGGAATGGGAGGGTTGGGCAAAACCACTCTGGTGAAGCAAGTCTATGAAGACCCCTCTGTGAAGAAGCATTTTGCAGTGTACGCTTGGATCACTCTCTCTCGCTCCTGCAAGATCGAAGAGCTACTCAAAGATATGCTTGATCAGATAATGAGGGTGATCAGGAAACCAGTCCCTCCAGGAGCCAACACTATGAATAGCCATTGGCTGAAGATGATCATCAAGGACCTTCTTCTTCAGAGGAGGTACCTGATCGTCCTTGATGACGCATGGCACATAAAAGAATGGGATGCAGTCAAGCATGCCTTGCCCAACAACGGGCACGGAAGCCGGGTGATCATCACAACCCGGAATGCTGATCTGGCATCTACCTCCTGCAAGGAGTTCAATGGGCTGGTCAAAAACATGGAACCACTCGATCCGGAACAGTCGTGGAAGCTTTTCTGTCGGAAGACATTTCAGGGGAACTCTTGCCCTTCCCACCTGGAGGAGATATGTAAGTACATTTTGAGAAAGTGTGAAGGACTACCGCTGGCAATCGTGGCCATCAGTGGTGTTCTGGCCGCGAAAGACAAACGGAGGATTGATGAATGGGATGTGGTACGACGCAACCTTCGTGCCGAGATTGACGGAAACGACAGGCTCAAGAACTTGAAGAGGGTGCTTTTGCTCAGTTTCAGCGATTTGCCGTACTACCTGAAGTCCTGTTTCTTGCACTTGAGTATATTTCCCGAGGGTCACCTGATCGAGCACAGGAGACTGATCCGGCTCTGGGTAGCGGAAGGGTTTGTCGAGAGAAAGGAAGGCAAGACACTCGAAGAAGTTGGAACGGACTACTTCAGCGAGCTCCTGAACAGAAGCCTAGTGCAAGTGGCCGAAACGACAACCGACAGAAGGGTCAAGTTGTGCCGCATCCATGATTTCCAGAGGGAAATTGATGTAGAACAGTTAGCCTGTGATTATCTTGAACAATGTGATCGCCGTAATCACCGGAAATCTCGGCAGTTTTTCTGATTTTGGGGAAAATAACCATTCAAGCAGTTTCCTATATTATCATTTAGGCGCTTTCCTATATTACCGTAAGGCAATTTCCTATATTATCATTTAGGCGCTTTCCTATATTACCAAGAAGATGCTTTCCTATAATACCATTCAGCGCTTTCTTTAATTATTCGGTTTCCATTAGTATTAGAGTCATATCTCTATATATAAGATGTCCGTCTTGTAATCAAGAGCACAGATTATTGAATAAAAATTTCGAGTTCTTTGGAGTTGTTCCAAATTTACACTTTCTCTCTCATTGGCCATTTGATATCGTAGCAGGTTTCTCCTGTGACGATGGTGAATAACGTGAATGTCAATCTCCCGCTCGCTGGGGGCCGTGAGAACGAGCCTATTACGCGGCCGAGTTCAATCGGTTCGTGGATCAAACCGATCGGAGATTTCAAGAGATCCTTGATGCCATCCAGCGTTTGTCCACAAACCATGCGCCCGGGCGTTCTTCCAGCCGAGCGAATTCCTATCGTTCGTGATCCCGAAGATGCTATGGGGCGTGGAGGAATTCCCCGACATAGGCGTCAAGACTATGTCGAGGATACGGAAGACGAAGACGATGATTTCCAGGAGATGCGATTCGTGGTGGTCGCCGATACCGGGATTCCGGAGGAGTATGTTCGTGGGAATCGACGTCAAGGAGGATATCGACGAGATCCCGAGCGATCAACTAAAGGTAGATCTCCCTACTTTCAATGGAATTTGGATATTGAAGATTTCCTTGACGGCTTTGGGAGGTTGAAAAATTCTTCGACGCTATGGATATTGACGAGATCGCCAAGTGAAACTTGTGGCGTACAAGTTGAAAGGTGGCGCTTCACCTTGGTGGGAACAGACTCAATTGACGCGACGTCGACAAGGCAAGGCTCCTATTCGATCTTGGGGTCGATGAAACAAGTTGAAGAAGAGGTTCCTCCCAACGGACTATGAGCAATCGTTATTTCAGCAATTCCAAAATTGCCGACAATCGAATAGATCGGTCCAAGCTTATACGGAAGAGTTCCTTCGACTCACCGCTCGTAATAATCTGGATGAGTCCGAGGCACAACAAACCGCTAGGTACATTAATGGTTTGCGACTTAATATTCGGGAGAGAACATAGTGTCAAAGGCCTTGGTGGATCACTTGCAACTAAAGACGGAGCCGCATCCCGCGCCCTACACGATCGGGTGGATACGCAAGGGAGCAGAGAACTTAAGCTAAACCAATTATGCCGTTTGCCTATTTCAATCGGAAAATCATATCAAGATACTATTGTCCGTGATGCCGTGGAGATGGATGCGTGTCATGTTTTACGGGTCGACCATGGCAATACGATGTTGATGCTATACACCGAGCTAGGGAGAATACGTATTCTTTTGTGTGGAAAATGACTAAAATTACTTTGAGACCGAAGAGTAATTCAAAGTATAAGGAGGATGCTTGACAAACGCGACGTTTGAAAATTTTGAGGAGGCGATGAGGTAATGGTTTTCCTACGAAAGGAGCGTTTTCCCGTACGTACCTATAATAAAGCTCAAGCACAAGAAGATTGGTCCTTGCCGCATCCTAAAGAAGATCAACGATAATGCCTATATAGTTGAACTTCCGGTGATCTCAACATTTCCCCTACATTTAATGTGGCAGACTTATTTGAGTATCATGCTTACGATACACCCTCTATCCTGATCATAACTCGAGGCGAGTTTTTCCCGAAGAGGAGGGAATGATGTAGAACAGCTTAACCCGTGATTATCTTGAACAATGTGATCGCCGTAATCACCGGAAATCTCGCAGTTTTCCGATTTTGGGGAAAATAACCATTCAAGCAGCTTTCCTATATTATCATTTAGGCAGCTTTCCTATATTACCAGAGTAGCTTTTCCTATATTATCATTTAGGCAGTTCCTATATTACCAGTAAGGCGCTTCCTATATTACCATTCAGCAGTTTCTTTAATTATTCGGTTTCTATTAGTATTAGGAGTCATATCTCTATATATAAGATGTCCGTCTTGTAATCAAGAGCACAAGATATTATTGAATAAAATTTCGAGCTCTTTGGAGTTGTTCCAAATTTACGCTTTCTCTCTCAGCGTCGAAATAATAACTTCAAAATCGAGAGATCAAAGCTTTGCAACAATCGCCAAAGAGCAGACCGACATGTGGCCAGATAAAGTTCGCCGCCTTTCATTGCACAACAGCCTGCAAGCTGCACAGCAAAACAGGTCACTTTCTCATCTGCGCTCACTATACATGTTCGGTGTAGACAGGGGATTCATTGACCTTGTCCTAGGGTGTGACATTAAATTGCTTAATGTCTTAGACATGCAAGCCACACCTTTGTCAAAGTTCCCAGTTCAAGTTGTTGACTGGTACTTCCTAAGATATTTAAGCTTCAGGCACACCGAAGTTAAAACAATTCCTACTTCAATAGGGAGGCTTCAGAACCTAGAGACACTAGATCTTAAGCATACAAATGTGACGCGATTGCCTGTTGAAATCTTGAAGCTGCAAAAACTCCGGCATCTCTTGGTGTATCGGTATGAAAACATATCCTATTTGTGCTACAAGTATGGCTTCAAGGCACTCACGGAGATCGGGGCTCTGCAGTCCCTTCAAAAGTTGTGCTACATAGAGGCGGACGATGAGAGGAACGACAACATAATGAGAGAGCTCGGGAAGCTGACGCAGTTAAGCAGGTTGGGCATCCTGAAGTTAAGGAAAGAAGATGGAAGGGCTTTGTGCTCATCCATAGCGAAATTAACCAACCTCTGTGCAATATCTGTGGCTTCGGTTGAGGACGACGAGATATTGGATCTGCAAAACCTTACATCTCCACCTCAATTGCTACAGAGGATCTACTTGAAAGGGCGTCTCGAGATACTACCAAACTGGTTAGCCAGTCTCAATAGTCTTGTCAAGTTGCACTTACGATGGAGTCGGCTGAAGGATGACCCACTTGTATCACTGCAAAGTCTGCCCAATCTCGTGCATCTCGAGCTGCTCCAGGTCTACGAAGGAAAGACCTTATGCTTCAAATCCAAAGGTTTTAGGAAGCTGAGAATTCTGGGTCTCGACAATTTTGACGAACTCAGATCCGTGGAAGTGGAGGAAGGAGCAATGCCCTGCCTCGAAAAGTTGATCATTCAGCGCTGCAAGCTACTGGAGAAGCTGCCATCAGGCATTGAGTATCTGACCAAGCTCAAAGTACTTGAGTTCTTTGACATGCCTGATGAGTTGGTCAAGAAATTTGTGAGAGACGAGCAGGATGAGGATTATCAGAAGGTTGCACACATTCCAGAAGTTTACTATGGATATTGGAGAGATGGAGGCTGGGATGTCCAATCCATGGAGAAATCATTCGAGGGCGACGCCTCTCCTCGCCAAGGCACTAGCATGAGGAGCAGTGAGTTCCCTCCATGCTGGAAGTGAAGGATTGAGCCCCTTTTCCTGATCTGAGTATAGTACGTGCATAATGTTTGCCATGTACATGTGAGTGAGAGTGTGACTGTTACTATAGCATATGTTGACGATACAATGCACATGTAAAATATGTAAATGCTAGTGTAAGGTAATTTTCTATGCCTTTAAATGACATGAATGAAGCAGCTAGTTCACTGTATTCTTCTCTTGAAAATGCGCTTCCACCTTTGGCGCCATGGATGTTCATCAATGTAGAATAACAAGAGACTCGTAGCTCGGCCAATGAGAGATGATCAACGTATGATAGACAACCAAGCCGAAGTACATTTATCAAGACTACAGATTGCCTAGAGGGGAAAAGAACAGACAAAGTTCTCAAAAGCATTTTGCAGTGGGAAGATCCAGAACTGCTGTTAATGAGAAATGCTCAAAATACTTATACTCGTTGCCACCTTAATATACAGATAACCACCCTGGCACAATACTTCTACTTGTTCCTTTGTGTATATCAGTGTCAAACACAATCTCACTAACAGATAGAGGATGTATTGGATGTAATAGCGTTCTAACACCAGCCCATACTGAATATTTTCGACTGCTTGCTTCGGGTCTCTTGTTATTCTACTATGATCTCCATATCTATATGGCCTGCATATGTTCGGTAAACGATCCACCTAGTATTTTAACAGCTGAGGTTGTAAACAAGCAACCTTGTTATACTAATCTGTGTGCATTCGTTCGCGGATTGCTTTTCTGAGTCCATAATGCCAGCAAGGTTCCTTCTTTTTACAGTTGCGACTCATTGGTGGATCTCTAGCAATAAAAAACCTTGGCATTCTCTTCTGTAAGTCTCCCTGCAACAGATACCTGCTGATTACTTCATCTTGCTAATCGTACCATTAAACTCGATCACTACCGAATCTCAATAAACTTACCACAAGATTTAATCTGCTAAATCACTCACGCACGAAGAAAACACCAGGATGTAATTCCACGAAGACTCACGTCAAGCACTCGATTCGGTGCTTCAGTTCTTCTCTGGACACGAACGGCACAAAGACCACACTCTGCACCTTCAACTTCTTCTTTCAAAGTGCCCACGATAGAATATAATATATGTGCCCAAGAGTTGACCGAGTCATGATCTGAATCAAAAGCCACGTTGGACTTTCTTGTTCAAGCCGTAGACTCCAACATCAATTAGAAAGAATATTTGTTTCCTCCGGCACATATTTGGAAAGTAAATTTCCAATATTTCCTTTTGCTCAATTTCGATGTCCGCAAAATATTAATTCGAATATTTAGATTTCGCTTCAACTCAACTCAGACATATTTTCAACAATCTCCACTCGCCGACGCTTGAGCCAAGTCACAATCGCTTGATAGAATCCGAATTCCGCCATTATATCTCCCACAGCCCCACTGCGCTCAACCGCACAGACGCTTTTCAAGTCCAAGCCTCGCTTGAACTTCACCATAGCAAGGGACCTCATCGAATACCAACTCCACATGCACCTTTAATCGCTCCACAAGGATTTTCTGACACAATCTCCTCAATCGTAGATAAAGCAAAACCATCATTGCATCTATATCTGTCTCAAGATCGAATACGCACCTTATCAATATCAGCTACGAAACAATAAAATTGATGTATAAGAAAATAAATCGGACACTGCATTTACTGGTTCGGCCGCAGCGACCTACGTCCAAAGAATTGTACACAAATCTTACCACAAGATTCACTAATTTCACAATTTCGCTAAATCACAAATCTTACCACAAAGATTTAATCGCTAAATCACTCACGAAAACACCAGGATGTAATTCCACGAAGACTCACGTCAAGCACTCGATTCGGTGCTTCAGTTCTTCTCTGGACACGAACGGCACAAAGACCACACTCTGCACTCTTCAACTTCTTCTTTTCAAAGTGCCCACGATAGAATATAATATATGTGCCCAAGAGTTGACCGAGTCATGATCTGAATCAAAAGCCACGTGACTTTCTTGTTCAAGCCGTAGACTCCAACATCAATTAGGAAAGAATATTTGTTTCCTCCGGCACATATTTGGAAAGTAAATTTCAATATTTCCTTTTTTCTCGATTTCGGATGTCAAAATATTAATTCGAGAATATTTAGATTTCGGCAGAGCTGGATTCGGTCGAGACATATTTTCAAACAGCGACCATTAAACTGATCATTGGCCACGTACCCAAGGAAGTTGAATTCTCGGAATTAACTGGATAAGAAGAATGGCCAGATAGTGAGCTCATTAGCTTATGGCTTGTCATGTCAGACCCCGTGTTATGCAGGAACAGAAGTACCTGCTTGCCTACTCAGCTTCATATATCTGGGCATGCAAAACCCTCCAACTACTTGGAGTTAGCCGAGCCTTACGAGTTGCCGTCAGACGATAGCTCCCCTTTATAATTTAGTGATGTTATGCCAATTAAATGGTGAGAGCACATAGACCAGCTTGGTGCCTCTCCGGAAAACATCTCCTTTTAATCTTAGGTTAAAAACAGATATTATGATTGAGCAAGCGAAGTGCATGAGGAAGTGATTTTAGTTTCACAAACAGAATTAGGTGAGAAGCCAATTTGTTGTTCATGAATGTACTCACGCAATACCATCATTAGATTACTATTACTAGTTGTATTGCTGAGCTGATTGGATGTTTCCCAACATTTGACATACTTTGCCAGGAATGCAACCGACACTTGAAAGAGCATGAAAACTTCTCGTCTTGAATGTCATTTCTGTAAATTTTCTCTTAATAAAGAAAAAAAAGTAATCAAATTGAAACTGATCTAGATGAAGGAATACGAGATGGCTTTTGTGAGAAGCTGAGGCCTTGTTCCCACGAAATAAGCTGCATGACTTATAGAGTTTAATGTATGTGTTTTGAGTAAAGTAAGTAAATGAACTATCTCCAGACGGTCTCCATCCCGACTGGTCTCGTTTGATCCAGATTGCGCCAAACTTATACAGGTTGCAGAAATGCCAAGCGTGCCACGTTTGATTGTTTTGTTCGCTTGACTTAAACAAGTCAGAAATTTCGATACAACAGCTGTCCTTGTGCGTCAAACAAAGGACTGCCACCGAGAATTGTACAAGAACTCTATCTTGGATCTTGAAGTGATGGTCTAGAAAGATTTGAACACTCAATTCTCGGGTTCTTGAAGTTGAAGGCAAGAGATCCCCAGCAAGATAGTTGGTTTTAGCTATATTGAATCTACTTTGACAGAAAAGTAAACGAGTAGAACATGGAAGAATTGGAAAGTAAAAGTGAGTAAAGTTACATAACAAAAATGATGGATTGATATGTGGTTCAGGGAACCTTTATTAGAGAATATACCATGCCTATTGACAAGCCAATATAATTTGTAACTTCTTATCTAGTGCATTACCACACAGCGTAAATCTAGAGGTGGCAAAATGAGTCTAAAACCCATATATTAACTCATATTTAATAGTGTGGATCATAAAGGGGTTGACTTTAGTTTTAAAAACAAGCTTAAGTGGGTCATAAATGAGTTATTTAACAACTTAATGTATCTTAAATGAGTTTTAAATTGGTCATAAATGGGTTACCTAACTATCTTAAGTGAGTTATAAACAAGTTTTTTGATTTTTTAATTTTGTAATTTCTTATCACTTTTTTATGTTCTTTTCTTTTTTTCTTTTTCTTTTTTCTTCTACGAAATTCAGCGAGAGCTGCGAATTTTTTTAATATTTTATTCTTTCTTTCTTTCTTTCTTTCTTTTTCTTTTTCCTTATTTCTCCAGCGCAACTGGCTGGCGACGATCACAGGCAAGCTCGAGCCTTGCTACAATTTGGTCGGTCGCCTTTCGTTGCCGGTCGCAACCTGTCATCTTTCACCGCCGATCGTTGTCCGATCGCCACCGATTGCCGGTCGTCGATCGACGCTGGCCGCCGCTGGTTGTCGATCGCCGGAGGAAGAAGGAAATCTCGTTAGATTTCTAGAAAAAAATAAAAATAAAAATAAAAATAAAAAATTTATAAAAAACAATTTTTTAAAATTGGAAAAAATACGAAAGTATTGTAACAATATGAGTTGGGTTGGATATAGGTCGAGAAATTTGCATGGCAATAAATGGATTTTATGTGTCAATTTGGGTCGGATCATACCCAACCCAAATCTGACTCGATCCACTCGTTTGACAGGTCTATATAAATCTAAACAATTACACTTTGAAAGCAAATTAAAAGAAAAATCTCATCCACTTGTCACTTTCCCCTTAAATAGAGTTAGAATTATCCATCGGTGCCAACATATTCAAGTGGATTGAGTGGAGCAGTTAAAGATAGTATTAGAGCAAAACTCCTTGAATAGATTGATGTGCGGGATGGATCAAGGCCAAGCCGATCACGGCGAGCTCGAGAAATGATTGTCCTCGCCTTCTAGGAAGGCGAAGGAGCGGGAACATAATCGAATAAAGGAAGTATTTCCTGGCGTTTCCCGTTCATATGGACTAACGTACTTTTCGTCGATCCACCAAATTGATGGACAACCCTTATTAACTTTTCGACACGTGGCCTTTGAAGTAGCACACAAGATAACTAACTTAACTACCAGATGTCAGCAAAACAGGAACCCTTGTATATCATTTTCTTTTCCTGCGGTAGATCAGAGACAAAGATTCTGGTTATAAGTAGTAGATATCCTATTCGCAGGTAAATGATACCGAAACCCCCTGAATCTCCTGGAGTAACGAGTAAGCTCTATCTCCACAACATCTATGAAACTTCGACGAAATTAACTTCTGTTTCTTAAATTAGTAGTTATCCACAACTCCTGGTGCTCGCCACAACGCCAAAGTCTCCAAATGGGGCCATCAAAGACCAAGTTATGGGTCAAAGGTTTGCCCTTATCCATTCAATAGAGACGGATTTATGTGCGACTTCTTTGAATTGGCAAGAATGTATTCACCACATTTGAAAGTCTCACGGGTGCTCGCTTGAGGACCAAATGCTCATTTGATTTCGGTCAGTCAAATGGACAAACTTTCTGGGAGCCTTTGATTCAGCACCAGCACCTCCAATTTCCCTGATGCCCAAACAGGGCTCAAAAAAGTTTAATACATGCATCGATTCCGTTAGCAAGTGTACTAGTTGAACGAAATATACAGATGAAATAATTCCGTTGTGAACCGAG